AAAGATACCAAAGGGACATTCAAACTCATAAGTCGAAAATAAACTGACAACGCCTTCGCTAAAAAGAAAAAGACAAACAGACAAACAACAGTGCACTAAACACAACAAAGAAAACTAAAGACTGAGCAACACGAACTCCACCAAAAACTGGGAGTGATCTCAGGTGCTCCGGAAGGGTAAGCAGATCCTGCGCCATCTGTGGCACCCGTCGTGTTGCTCATGTTAGTACAAACCCGGTATTAATAAGTCTAATTCGGTAGGTCACATTCGGGGGAAAGGGGACGGGATAGTAGTTACGACAATTGGAACATATCCGCTATCATCTGTGAAACAGATATTCCATAACGGTCAACCAACTCGTGATGGCGTCAGTAAAATTTACTAAGGGATGATTTCAACTTCACCACTTGAAACTCTTGGTTTAATAGCTTCCTTGTGAGCAGCAACCCTCTATCAAGGAAATCTTATGATAAAAAATACAAGCCCTGGAATATCGTATCAACTGGGAGATATATACTCCATATGCAGTCGCTGTTGGAATGTTGCCACATAGAAATGGAAAGTTCACAATTGGGAAGCTGAAATCATCTCTTTTGTCGTAAATTTTTGTTTTCAACCGACCCTCAATGTCAATTTCTAGATGTATGTCAAGATATGAGGCAGACTTAACTGTATCTGTTGTATCCTTTATCTCAAGTTCGATGGGATAGATGCGTTCAACATAGTCACCAAATTTTGAATTGTTTAGTGAGAGAGCATCATCTATATAGCGGATTGTGAAGTTAAATGATACTGCTAACTTCTTTTCTTCCTTCCTAAGAAGTTTCTGCATGAAGTCAGCCTCATATGAATAAAGGAAAAAGTCGGCAAGAAGAGAAGCACAGTTGGTTCCCATTGGAATGCCGATTGTTTGTTGAAAAACAAATCCTCCAAACGTAACAAATATCTTAACTTTGTCAATCAAGAAATCAAGCATCTTGATAATGTCAGATTCAGGGAATTTTGTTTGAATTAGATTCATTTTTTACAAAGTAGGATTTATCCCTCCCTACGAAAAGAAGATAATTGTATCTATACGATGGTCATTCTTTTTTATGAAACAAAGCAGGACCAACTCTTTCAATTTGTCTTTTAGTTTGGAATGGGGAATACTAATGTAAAGTGTAGAAAAGTCAAATGTTTAATACTATTGCAAGATGAAAAAGTCTTAGATTGTGTGTACTCTAAAAGATCTTTGGAATTTTTTAGTATCCCCATCTGATTCACGCCACCTCAAGAATAATAACTGTGAAGCCCGGCTTTGATTGCTGATAAAATTTATGTAAATAATTTAGAAAGAGGTTAAACTTAACATTATCAGTGGGCCATAACAATGAGGTCAAGGTCAGATAAACTTTGCCTGATTGACATATACACCTTTAATACAGTCATTCCATGCACCAAATATAGTTAACCTATTGCTTATAGTTTATAAGAAACGGACCTTTACACGTAACTTTAACATGGGCCAATGCAACATGAATTGAGGTCAAGGTCAGATGAACCCTGTCAGAGAGACATGTACACCTAATAATCATTCCACACACTGCATTTATTGAACCTATTGCTTACAGTATCTGAAAAACAGACAAAAACAAAAAACTTAACATTGACCAATGAACCAATGAAGACAATTAGGTCAGATGAAACCCGTCAGACAGCAATTCACACTTTACAATCATTCCATACACTACACATAGTTGAACTACTGCTGATAGTTTCTGTGAAAAGGCACAAGGTAACTTTAACCTTGATCACTGTTTCATGAAATGAGGTCGAGGTCAGGTGAACCCAGCATGACGGACATGTAGACATTGTAAAGAACCCATACACCACCGTTATCATATTACTCATAATACGCTAGAAATTAAAAAGACAAAAAACTGTATTATTTTAAGCAGTAGCTGAACCATGAAAATGGGTTCAAGGACAATGGACAACAGAAACTTTGTTATATAAGTCATTGGTATAATTGGTTTGAAGCCTCGACGTCTTCTTCCCTCTGAAATATAAAGCTTAATACAAATAGTTTACGCCGCCGATGACGGATTGTAATCCCTATTCATTCTTCATCTTTCGTCGCAGGCGAGACCAAAATCATGCATCCAAGTCAATTCAGCATAAAGTTCCCATCACATAACATTTTGTAAGCCTAAAACTGAAAGTTATATGTCGCTAGAGGTTGAACAGGAAGCAACTCTCACTATTTATTCTACACAGATGAAATAAAGATATATATAGCTTTATAAATTTCTTGTTTGAACATGAATATCTATGTATTTACATAAAAATTTGCTGATGCAATATCATGTGATTTTTAAAAAAAATAATAATTATTTCTATTTATTGAGCCATGCCAATCGCTTCTATTTTTACATTTAAACAATAAAAAGATTAAAATCCAGAAGCCGGAAATAACCTTTATGTATTTTTTTTTTTTTTTAAATTGAAAGGGTTCTATACGTGGGAGGCGTAAAATTCTATTCAAATGGTCGATTACTAAGAAATAACTTAGGTTTTTTTATTACAAATCAGACAATCCTTTTATTACAAATCAGACAATCAGGCAAAAATATTTGACTACAAAGACGAACTCGTGTATGAAATAATATCAAAACTAATACAAAACAGTAGGTTAAGTGTCTAAATTACATCTATTTTTTTTTTTAGATAATTAATAGTAATTCTCATTATACATTTACTGAGGTCATAGAAGGTTGCATGTTTATCTGCAGCTTCACTTAGGCATCTCTATTTTGTTAGCTATATACCTTGAAAAGTGCTAACATTTGACTGGGGACGTTCACCTTTCATTATGGCATTCACTTATTAAAATTGGCAATACCATGTCAAAACTTCAACTTGGATGTGGGAAAATGAAAAATAAAATAAATATGTATCAAAACATTATTTAAAGAACTGAACCATGAATGTATTTGACTATTATAATCTTCTTATTTTTGCTTGTTATTTTCCTGTTAATTTCTTTTTATTTCGTGATATCAAGTTCACACAATATCGGTATAACATGAATTAAATATTGAATACAAAATGTACCACTTGGTGTCACCAACTGATGGGACAAAGGCAGTTTAATATAATTAAAGCCAGTAATTTTAATTTGAATTGTGAACATCTACCTTTTTCTAATGAATTCAGAAACATAATTTGTTTTTAATTATAATTCCCTCTGGTAATGAAATATGCAGAAGTTATCCCATCACAGTACCTCACATGAACTAGGGTCATTGACCAACTGAAGGCACTGGCCACAAGGGTAATCTGTGTTTTTACAGTAAATGAGTTAATTTATTCTACATCAGAGGTACGAATTGGGAAATGATTAGAATAGCAGATAATATACCAGTTGACCTTCACACTCTTAACGTTTTTACATAGCATTTATCAACTAACTTCTAACTATCAATCCTGTTATCCAACGCGATTAATCATATCTGCTTTTCAAAGCGCATCATCAAACCCCAGGGACAAATGGACTGTTGTTAGATTGTAGTTTGGTACACAGATGGTACTGATATTTTTCTATTAAATTATAACAAATATTTTCATTATCAGCTATTCTTATTAATTCTGTAGCTTCACAGGGAATAATCTTTAGTCTTTAGTGTCATAACAGTGCAAAAAGGTAAAGGTGAAATATCTTTGACCTTATGATGGGTGCATGCATTTAACTTTACAATACTTTTTAAAATACCCGGAATATGCTTAGTTCAGGGATATAGGGGAAATTGACTGCTATAAGTAGCAGGCTATGGGACATATTTGTGATCTTTTAAATTTGTAGATCTTGGAAATTTGTGTTACTGGGATACAGGATAATTATAAATGTCAGCATTATGCAAGATTCCAATTAATTTTCCGTGAATCTGAATGTTAGAGAGAAGCTGGACTTTATCCTAAAAATAAAATGCTCCGCTGGGCGCAGCTTGATACGACCGCAGAGGTCGAACCCTGAACAGTTGGGGCAAGTATGGACACAACATTCAAGCTTGATACAGCACTGAATTTGGATTGTGATTAAATATTTGACACAGCATAGGTTTCTGACACAGAATGAATGTGGTCTAAGAACTTAAAATTGTTTAATTTACCTATTCAAACCATATCATAATTATTTGCTTTTATATATAAATCAGAAATAACCAATTTAAAATGAAAAATTTTAAAGAAAAAAAAAGGAAAAAAAAATCAACCCCTCAAATTTTTTGAACCCCCTTATGATTCATCACCCCAAACTCAATCCCAGCCTTCCCTTTGTGGAATGGTACCTTGCAGTACAATTTCAGAGAGATCCATACACTTGAACACAAGTTATTGTCTGGAAACTAGAAAAATGCTTGTTTTTTGGCCCCTTTTTGGCCCTAATATTCCTAAACATTTAGGGCAATTACCCCCAAACTCAAACCCAGCTTTTCCTTTGTGATATGGAACCTTGTAGTACAATTTCATAAAGATCCATACACTTACACACAAGTTATTGTCCTGAACAAGAAAAATGCTTGTTTTTTGCCCCTTTTTGGCCTCTAATTTCAAAAATTTTGAGGCAATTACCCCCAAAATCAATCCTAGCCTTCCCTTTGTGGTATGTTACCTTGCAGTATAATTTCAGAGAAATCCATACACTTGAACACAAGTTATTGTCTGGAAACTAGAATAAAATGCTCCGCAGGGCGCAGCTTGATACGACCGCAGAGGTCGAACCCTGAACAGTTGGGGGAAGTATGGACACAACATTCAAGCTTGATACAGCTTTGGATTTGGATTGTGATTAAATATTTGACACAGCATAGGTTTCTAACACAGATTGAATGTGGTCTAAGAACTTAAAAATTTTAAATTGGACATTCACCTATTATGGTCCAATATCCAAAATCTAAATACATGGTTAGATTCAGCGTATCAAAGAACCCCAAGAATTCAATTTTTGATGAAATCAAACAAAGTTTAATTTTGGACCCTTTTGACCTCAATGTGGACAAAGTTGATAACGGGGCCCAAAAATCAAAAATCTAAATACATGGTTAGATTCAGCATATCCAAGAACCCCATATATTCAATTTTTGTTGAAATCAAACAAAGTTTAATTTTGGACCCCGATTTGGACCAACTTGAAAACTGGGCCCATAATCAAAAATCTAAATACATGTTTAGATTCAGCATATCAAAGAACCCTAAGAATTCAATTTTTGTTAAAATCAAACTAAGTTTAATTTTGGACCCTTTGGACCTTAATGTAGACCAATTTGAAAACGGAACCAAAAATTAAGAATCTAAATACACGGTTAGATTCGGCATATCAAAGAACCCCAATAATTCAATTTTTGATGAAATCAAACAAAGTTTAATTTTGGACCCTTTTGACCTCAATGTGGACAAAGTTGATAACGGGGCCCAAAAATCAAAAATCTAAATACATGGTTAGATTCAGCATATCAAAGAACCCCATATATTCAATTTTTGTTGAAATCAAACAAAGTTTAATTTTGGACCCTGCTTTGGACCAACTGGAAAAATGGGCCCATAATCAAAAATCTAAATACATGTTTAGATTCAGCATATCAAAGAACCCTAAGAATTCTATTTTTGTTAAAATCAAACTAAGTTTAATTTTGGACCCTTTGGACCTTAATGTAGACCAATTTGAAAACGGAACCAAAATTTAAGAATCTAAATACACAGTTAGATTCGGCATATCAAAGAACCCCAATAATTCAATTTTTGATGAAATCAAACAAAGTTTAATTTTGGACCCTTTGGACCTCAATGTGGACCAATTTAAAAACGGGGCCCAAAATCCAAAAACTAAATACACGGTTAGATTCAGCATATTAAAGAACCCCATGAAATCAAGAATAAAACCACATTGAAATTGGTCAAGAAATAAGCAATTTATAGGAAGTATCTTCTTTTGCACAATCCTGTACTATTAAATATTTCTTGCTATTGCGCAATACTGTACAATTGACAATTTCTTGCTATTGCGCAATATTGTGCTATTGGATATTTCTTGCTATTGCGCAATACTGTGCAATTGAAGATTTCTTGCTATTGCGCAATACTGTGCAATTGAAGATTTCTTGCTATTGTGCAATACTGTGCAATTGAAAATTTCTTGCTATTGCACAATACTTATTATATAATAATTTACACATCCTGTTTGGTGTGTATCTCCTACCATATCATTATTATTTGATTTTAAATATAAATCAGAAATAACCAACTTAAAATGGAAAATTTTAAAAGAAACAAAAAAGGAAAAAAAAATAAATCCCCCCCCAAAATTTTTTGAACCCCCATTATGATTCATCACCCCCAAACTCAATCCCAGCCTTCCCTTTGTGGTATGGTACCTTGCAGTACAATTTCAGAGAGATCCATACACTTGAACACAAGTTATTGTCTGGAAACTAGAAAAAAATGTGTCTTTTGGCCCCTTTTTGGCCCCAAATTCCTAAACGTTTAGGGCAATTACCCCCAAACTCAAACCCAGCTTTCCCTTTGTGATATGGAACCTTGTAGTACAATTTCAGAAAGATCCATACACTTACACACAAGTTATTGTCATGAAACTAGAAAAATGCTTGTTTTTTGCCCCTTTTTTTGCCCCTAATTCCTAAAATTTGGAGGCAATTACCCCCAAAATCAATCCCAGCATTCCTTTAGTGATATGGAACCTTGTGGTACAATGTCAGAGAAATCCATACACTAACACACAAGTTATGTCTGGAAGTTACAAAAATGCTTATTTTTGGCCCCTTTTTGGCCCCTAATTCCTTTACTGTTATTACCATAACCCCCAAAATCAATCCCAACCTTCCTTTTGTGGTATTGAACCTTGTGGTAAAATTTCATAAAGATCCATTCACTTAAACTAAAGTTAGAGTGCGAAAACCAATGTGTCTTCGGACGACGCCGGACGACGATGACGACGACGACGACGCCGGACGACGACGACGCCAACGTCATACCAATATACGACCACAAAAATTTTTTTGCGGTCGTATAAAAATGCTTATTTTTGGCCCCCTTTTGGCCCCTTATTCTTAAACGTTTTGGGCAATTACCCCCAAACTCAATTCCAGCTTTCCCTTTGTGATATGGAACCTAGTAGTACAATTTCAGAAAGATCCATAGACTTACACACAAGTTATTGTCATGAAACTAGAAAAATGCTTGTTTTTTGCCCCCTAATTCCTAAAAATTTGAGGCAATTACCCCCAAAATCAATCCAAACATTCCCTATGTGATATGGAACCTTGCAGTACAATTTCAGAGAGATCCATACACTTGAACACAAATTATTGTCTGGAAACTAGAAAAATGCTTAATTTTGGCCCCTTTTTAGCCCCTTATTCCTAAACATTTTGGGCAATGCTTGTTTTTTGCCCCTTTTTTAGCCCCTAATTCCTAAAATTTTGAGGCAATTACCCCCAAAATCAATCCAAGCATTCCCTTTGTGATATGGAACCTTGTGGTACAATGTCAGAGAGATCCATACACTAACACACAATTTATGTCTGGAAGTTACAAAAATGCTTATTTTTGGCCCCTAATTCCTTAACTGTTGGTACCATAACCCCCAAAATCAATCCCAACCTTCCTTTTGTGGTATTGAACCTTATGGTAAAATTTCATAGAGATCCATTCCCTTAAACTAAAGTTAGAGTGCGAAAACCAATGTGTCTTTGGGACGACGACGACGCCAACGTCATACCAATATACGACCACAAAATTTTTTTGCTGTCGTTTAAAAAAGTCACTTAAAGTGGTAGAAAAACTAAAACAGTTGCATTGGCTTTCATGCCTCTTTTGTATAGTTTTTGTGCAATGTCCTGGCTGTAGGTTTAATAACAGATGAATGAGGGTCTGGATAGGGGGTCCTTCAATTCTGTATTCTTTAATTTTCAAGGACATTTTTCTCTATTCTTTATTTTAGCACTCCATTATTCTATATTCTATATTCTTTTGGTTGATTTTTCTCTTATTCTTTATATTTTTTGGCCTTTATTCTACACTTTTTACCCATTATCCTCTATTCTGTAAACCATTCAGACCTTCATGAATTCTGACCACTTACAAATTATTTGGAATTCATCTACCTTTATTTTTCTTATAAAAAAGAAAATGTGGTATGATTGCCAATGAGACAACTCTCCACAAGAGACCAAATGACACAGAAATTAACAACTATAGGTCACTGTACGGCGTTCAACAATGAGCAAAGCCCATGCCGCACAGTCAGCTATAAAAGGCCCTGAAATGACAATGTAAAACAATTCAAACGAGAAAACTAACGGCCTAATTTTGTACAAAAAATTAACGAAGAAAAAAAAAAAAAAATATGTAACACATAAACAAACGACAACCACTGAATTACAGGCTCCTGACTTGGGACAGGCACATACATACAGAATGTGGCGGGGTTAAATATGTTAGCGGGATCCCAACCCTCCCCCTAACCTGGGACAGTGGTGTAACAGTACAACATAAGAACGAACTATAATCAAAGCATCGTTGATGTTGTGATCCAGCCATATTCATAGCTAGTCTGATATTCTTTCTGACCATACTTTTTTCTAAATTTTTTCCCTTTTCATTTCTTATCTTACTGTAAAATTTCTATGTTATTGTGCAAAGGTAGGGAACTTCGCAATATTGATGCAAATATAAACATATATACTGATTTTTCAATTTTAGACTCTGTCAGATTTTATTTTTGACAAGAATGGAAAGGAAAATAGTCAAACAAGTAATATATATTTTATATGCCATTAAAAATGACAGGTTTAATAATTTCAGAAAGAGGCCTTATAAATGCACTTTCTCAATAACAAAAATTAAAAAAAATAACTATTTTTTATCTAAATTGGTGTTCATTCTTCATTAAGAAAAAATATATTTCCTGTATTCAAAACTGAATGTACAAATACCTAATGCTGAGATATTTCCAATTACTGTTAAATAGCAATATAATGGGATATAAATGTAAAACAAATAAATTTTATTGCAGAAAATGCTCAGGTAAGAGTTATGCCATTTTGTTTAATATTTAAACCAAATTTCTGATAATTGTAACTAATTAATTAGAACTTGATTATTGACTTGTGTCAGATGATAATGGCACTGATTTTACAAGTGAAATCAAATTTGCTTGCATTTTTCATACATATTTTTTTTTCATTTTAAGTATTTTCTTTGAAAAAAAAACCACATCAGATTAATCATTCAGCTAGCTAGCAAAATTAACAGAATATTTTAATGTAGTGTAGATCAAAATAAATAATACATTTGTAGGTTTACTATTGAGGTCAAGAATGTGTGAATTCAGTAAGGTGTGTAATAAATTGTGTCTATTTAATTATGTAACAGGTCATGAGATATTAACTGTTTTGAATTAAGCCTGGGGTTGTTTCTAATTAGTACTTATTTGAAAATCATGACAGTTAATAATCATTCTGACTCTTACTTGCCTATGGGAAGAATTGGAGTAATACCATTTCAAATAAAATGCTCCGCAGGGCGCAGCTTGATACGACCGCAGAGGTCGAACCCTGAACAGTTGGGGCAAGTATGGACACAACATTCAAGCTTGATACAGCTTTGCATTTGGATTGTGATTAAATATTTGACACAGCATAGGTTTCTAACACAGAATGAATGTGGTCTAAGAACTTAAAATTTTTAAATTGGACATTCACCTATTATGGTCCAATATCCAAAATCTAAATACATGGTTAGATTCAGCATATCAAAGAACCCCAAGAATTCAATTTTTGATGAAATCAAACAAAGTTTTATTTTGGACCCTTTTGACATCAATGTGGACAAAGTTGATAACGGGGCCCAAAAATCAAAAATCTAAATACATGGTTAGATTCAGCATATCAAAGAACCCCATATATTCAATTTTTGTTGAAATCAAACAAAGTTTAATTTTGGACCCCGATTTGGACCAACTTGAAAACTGGGCCCATAATCAAAAATCTAAATACATGTTTAGATTCAGCATATCAAAGAACCCTAAGAATTAAATTTTTGTTAAAATCAAACTTAAGTTTAATTTTGGACCCTTTGGACCTTAATGTAGACCAATTTGAAAACGGCACCAAAAATTAAGAATCTAAATACACGGTTAGATTCTGCATATCAAAGAACCCCAATAATTCAATTTTGATGAAATCAAACAAAGTTTAATTTTGGACCCTTTGGACCTCAATGTGGACCAATTTAAATACGGGGCCCAAAAATTCAAAAACTAAATACACGGTTAGATTCAGCATATTAAAGAACCCCAAGAATTCAAGAATAAAACCCCATTGAAATTGGTCAAGAAATAAGCAATTTATACGAAGTATCTACTTTTGCACAATACTGTGCAATTAAATATTTCTTGCTATTGCGCAATACTGTACAATTGACAATTTCTTGCTATTGCGCAATATTGTGCTATTGGATATTTCTTGCTATTGCGAAATACTGTGCAATTGAAGATTTCTTGCTATTGCGCAATACTGTGCAATTGAAGATTTCTTGCTATTGTGCAATACTGTGCAATTGAAAATTTCTTGCTATTGCACAATACTTATTATATAATAATTTACACATCCTGTTTGGTGTGTATCTCCTACCATATCATTATTATTTGCTTTTAAATATAAATCAGAAATAACCAACTTAAAATGGAAAATTTTAAAAGAAAAAAAAAAGGAAAAAAAAAAATCCCCCCCAAATTTTTTGATCCCCCTTATGATTCATCACCCCCAAACTCAATCCCAGCCTTCCCTTTGTGGTATGGTACCTTGCAGTACAATTTCAGAGAGATCCATACACTTGAACACAAGTTATTGTCTGGAAATTAGAAAAATGTGTTTTTTGGCCCCTTTTTGGCCCAAAATTCCTAAACGTTTAGGGAAATTACCCCCAAACTCAAACCCAGCTTTCCCTTTGTGATATGGAACCTTGTAGTACAATTTCAGAAAGATCCATACACTTACACACAAGTTATTGTCCTGAAACTAGAAAAATGCTTGTTTTTTGCCCCTTTTTGGCCCCCAATTCCTAAAATATTGAGGCAATTACCCCCATCATCAATCCCAGCCTTCCCTTTGTGGTATGGTACCTTGCAGTACAATTTCAGAGAGATCCATACACTTGAACACAAGTTATTGTCTGGAAACTAGAAAAATGCTAATTTTTGGCCCCTTTTTGGCCCCCAATTCCTAAACCTTTCGGCAATTACCCCCAAACTCAATTCCAGCTTTCCCTTTGTGATATGGAACCTTGTAGTACAATTTCAGAAAGATCCATACACTTACACACAAGTTATTGTCATGAAACTAGAAAAATGCTTGTTTTTGGCCCCTAATTCCTAAAATTTTGAGGCAATTACCCCCAAAATCAATCCCAGCATTCCTTTTGTGATATGGAACCTTGTGGTACAATGTCAGAGAGATCCATACACTAACACACAAGTTATGTCTGGAAGTTACAAAAATGCTTATTTTTGGCCCCTTATTCATTTACTGTTGGTACCATAACCCCCAAAATCAATCCCAACTTTCCTTTTGTGGTATTGAACCTTGTGGTAAAATTTCATAGAGATCCATTCACTTAAACTAGAGTGCGAAAACCAATGTGTCTTCGGACGACGACGACGCCGCCAACGTCATACCAATATACAACCACAAAAATTTTTTTGCGGTCATATAAAAAGTGTGGGAATCAACTTAGATATAAATTAATACACATGTTGACCTACATTTCATTGGACAATAATTTACACAAGCACAAGATACTAATATAATACTTTCAAAATTCTTATCAACTGATTCAATTGATATACAAATACTTTTTATAATTAATTCATAAATCCAATGTAAATAGTAAATCATCATAAATTTTGATTTAGAAAGGAACTATATGCAAGTGTATATCTAAAATAAAGTCACTATTCGACCAATTTTTTCTTAATTTAAAGAAATTACATGTCAAAAGTTTGCAGTTGATGATTAAAATGGGGTAAAAAGTTTCTGCAAGTCATAAAAACACATAATTAGTTTCATGATATGTCTTCAACTTAGTATTCTGCACCATCTCCAAAACCAGAGTGATCGCATAGATCCAGCATGGATGAACTCATCAGATGGATAAAAATACAAATACTACAAATACAAGTGGACTACAACTAAATTGTATATTTTGAAAAATATTGAATCCCTATATGGCTTAAGTGGCTAATACATGGTTGCTGTAACACTTCACAATTACCAAGTCCATATGCCACCTGGCCCTGGGAATGATCTTTGTAACAGATATCTAGAATCTAAATTGAAATCTATGCTGGAGAACTACATATAACTATTTCCAAAGGATTCGTTGGATACCAATTTTCCTGGATTTCCGAGGGTGAAGGTGAACCACGATTTTAATTGGTTAAAAAATTACAAATTTTCTACAAGGTTTTATACAGGCTTTGGCAAAACCAAGAAAAATCAAATGGTCTAAACTAATGAGCTAAAATGCAAGTTTTCCTGAATCCAAGAAAACTGTTAGCCTCGAAACTAAATGAATCAACAGTATCTCAATATTTCAATTTCGAACCACCATTCTTAAAGGTCATGGTCAAAATTTATCAACCATGTGAAATCAGTCTGTCTAAATAATAACAAGATCTTGTATTTTTTTATAAATAAAAATTTAATAGACTTTTAATTCTCTGATGAGAAAAATAAAACAACTGATGACATTGCCATTTGTACCAACATTTAACACTTATATTACTCTCTAAACTAACACATGCACATTTATAATTATTTAGTACAATTAAACAATGGAAAATTCATACAGTATCCATGTGTTTTAACACATTTCACTTGCGATGGTCTAATGATTCTTCACAGGTATTATTTCTTGCAAAATGAATGTTGATTTGGGACTGCCGTCATTTTACATTTGCATAATCACATTACACAATTGTCACTTACACACTTTTGATGCTGGTGTATGAAATTTTGAAAGTACAAACTTTTCTGTGTGTCAAACATATAAACCCATAGAATAGATGTTACTAAAAACTCCATTGACATATTCGGTCACATTTGTAAATAATGCTCAAATATGCAATTTAGATACATGGCATCTTATATCTATTCCACCTTTAAACATGCACACTTATAGCTTGTATTATGCGTAAGTTACAATTTTAGCACTTTTTCCCTTTCTGGAAATACAATCTTGCAGAGAGTATTTTTTTTGTCATTATAGTATTGTTTCTGGTATTTTGTCTTCCCAAATGACATCAATTGTAGAACATTAACGATCAGACAAATTTTGATATTTTGATTGAACAATTCAACTTACATTTTCATCATACATTTCTGCGATCATTTATGATTAGTACATCAGATCAACAATTTGTCCATTTATATATTTCTTTTCTCCTTTTAAGCAGTTTTTTTTGCAAAATGTATGTTTGGCACCATAATATTATTTTTGGATTCAAAGTGAACATGTAGAAGTAAAGAAAAAGAAAGACCCCCATTTTTTCATACTGAGTATTGTCAGTGGACAATGAAGAAAAAAGTACTTATTCTAAACATTTATTAAGTTTAAAATAATTAAAAATAATTAAAAAAAAATTTAAATTACTAAAATATGAATGACCATTTAAGGAGAAAATGGTTTTCATTACTTTACTATTCTTAATTTGCACTTTGTAAAATATATTATACATGTATAACTGAAATTATTATTAATCATATTTCATAACTGTGAAAAATTTCAATAATGGAATAACGTTAGCAAAAATTAGCTTCTTCAAAGAAATCTTACAATCAACTCTTTTTTCTAGTTTTGGAATAAATAACCCCCATTTTTACCAACTTTCATAACATCATTTCCCCCATTTGAGATTTCAATAACAAAATCATCTAAAACAACAATAATAATCACATCACCGGGTAATTGTGATTCTACCCTATTGTGTCAATGGTAAACAGAAATAAAACATTTCTTGAAGACATAGACCACTGCTGGAATGCCTACTTACAATCTATTTGCGTCTTTGGAAATAAAATACTATATACAAATCCATCTAATAGGTTCCAACTAAGATTTAAATGAAAAAGTATTTCATGTGGAGCATTAAATTCAATAAACAAAGGTTAAGTAGAGAGGATATCACAGCTATCAGCTTAAAGTTGTATTTTTTTAAAACCAAAACAAATTTGTTCAATTAGCTAGAAGCATCAACCTCTGCTTTAAAAAAAAAAGACAAATTTACACTTCGAAATTTTAGTTGATGCTCCAACTATTACTAAAAATTTCAACAATAAAATAACTTACTGGAAGATAAAACAATAAATAAGATAAATAAATATATATACAGACATGTCACAATAAAGATACTGTATAGAATTGTCTTTTGTTTTTTTTTTTGGAAAATTGCTGCCTAACACCTTACAAAACCTTTCAATGGTGTTTAGTTCTACCAACTCCAGGTCATGTGACAAAAGGTGGGTACAAGGGTCAGTCACTCAAGTATACCATTTGCTGGGAGGTATACTATTGCACCATATTATTTTGTACATTTTGGGTCTGCCTCGTCCTATCACCAGGGAGGCTACACTGAGATCAGATAAGTTTTGACCCTCTACACTTAAAGACAGTTATGATCAACATGACCAAGGGAGATAACTTTCTAAAATAATCATTACATTTACCAAGCACTTTTTTTATTGCCTGTTGTCATATAAAGTTATAATACTACACGATTAGAGTGATTCAACAAAATATTAGGGCAAGAAATACATAAAGTCTTTAATAGTTATCTGCCTTGGTCATGCACATTAATTCATCATTTCCAATCTCTCAGGTCATCACAATACAACATCAAAATTTAACAAAAAAGAGATTTACACATCTTCATACAATCAAATAAATAATAAAAATCTAACTGTCTGTGCTAACAGATCTGATAATATCATCATTCATCATATATATATATCCAAACATACAGGACCTGTCTCTGAAGACAGGTTACTACCATCCTCACAGGGAATCCAGGGAGGAAGAATTTAAAACTAGACGTTTAGCGGCTCCTGTATAGCCGTCGCTGCCACTTTCAATGCTGCTGTGGTCGTCTGTATCACTTTGACCACTCCCATAACCAAGTATGTCGATTTCATCTGAAATAACAAATATTATTATAGAGTGTATTGCTTAATATACAAGAAGATAAAATACAAGGTTGATAACTACTTCATGTATTAATTAGTAAATAGAGTTTTGGAAAACTTATAATTAAAAAGAAAAAACAACTATATTATTTTTTTCTGTGCATCATACTTTTACAACAGGATATTGTATAAACTTAAGCAAATGTTTGATTTTTTTTAAACTTATTTGAACAATGAAGGATTTCCTGAAGATTAAAAAACAAATAATGTATTTAAAAAGTTTGTTATTTAGTCAAAAAAACTTCTTAACATTTAAACAAAAATTTTGTAGCAACAGCAGATCCTTATAAACACTGTCGCTTATTTATAATAAATCTACAGCCTTGAAATCTTTTAAATTCAATATATTTTCAAAACCTGTGGTATAATTTTTTTGAACAGGAGTGAACTACCCATGGTGGGTATGTGAAACTGACCAAACCCACTTACAAGTATTCTTTATGTCACCAAGTGAAATAACTAACTTAAGAAGGTTGAGCAATAAGAGACCAATTGATGTCAAGTTCTTTTCTATGAATGAGTTACGTCTGTTGACCTGGGGTCAATCAGCATAAATGACATACTTGAACAATCAAACAGGCTGTGACATAATAGCATAAGCAATGCGAGATCAGAAACATACAGGAAAAAGCATGAAAGTGAAAGTTGTCTATGCCAAAATGAAAGGTTTACCTGACTCAGATGTTGAGGAGGTAGAGCTAGTTGCCGTACTACATTCGCTGATACTTCGTTCCTGTCGAACTCTGTACTGGCCTTCCATTAAACTTTCTAAACGACGCTGCAAAAATCGGTGTTCTCTTTTCAACTGATCCTTCTGTTGATTATACTTTTTTTCTTTATCTTCTAGGTTCTGAAATTTTTAAAACATCATTACTACACCTTTAATAAACTGCTTCACCGAGAACAGCTGGATACAACGGCAGAGGTCCAACCCTGAACAGTTAGGACAAAAATGGACACAATATTCAAGCTTGATACAGGTCTGAATTTGGATTGTAATTAAATATTACACACATTATAGGTTTCTGACACAGAATAAATGTAGTCGAAGAACATGAAATTGGTTATATGATTTGAATTTATATTCAATTGAAGATTTCTTGCTGTTGTGCAATACACTGTGCTTTGCACAATACTTAGTAAATCTGTTTTCAGACTATATACAAAGAATCAGCAAAATAAATTGTGACTCCCCTAATTTTTTTTTGGAAAATTGACAATTTCTTAAATCTTGAGGAAAATAATTTTTTTTTAACTTTTTTTTACCCCCCTCCAAAAAAGAAGATATTTAAAGAAATGTTCTTTTTGTAAAATGTGGAACAATTTAAGAGACATCCATACACTTAAACACAAGTTATTGTCTGAAAACTAGAAAAATGCTTGTTTTAGACCCTTTTTGGCCCCTAATTCCTGAATGGTTTGAGCAATAACCCCCATAAAGAATCCCAACCTTCTACTTGTGGTATTGAATTCGAACCTTGTGGTACAATTTCAGAGCAATCAAAATACTTATACACAAGTTATTGTCCTGAAACTAGAAAAATGCTTGTTTTGGGCCCTTTTTGGCCCCTAATTCCTAAACGGTTGGGACCATCACCCCCAAAAACAATCCCAACCTTCCTTTTGTGGTATTGAACCTTTTGTTTAAATTTCATAGAGATCCATAAACTTAAACTAAAGTTATTGTCCTGAAACAAAATGTCTTCGGACCACGACGAAGTGATAGCAATATACGACCGCATGATTCTATACATATATATTTTCTTTTCTGGTTAAGAGTTCACACCTTACTTTTCTCAATTTTTAAAAGTTCTTGATTAATTAAACGTCATCGAAAAAAAAAAATATGATGATTAATATTTAACTTTATCTTATATATAACATGCACATTATTCTTCAAGGAAGAATCTAGATGAATGCATTTATTTGAACATTACATTGAAGATATACGACAATGGTTGTCCTCTGATCATCTTATTCAAGATAAGGTAAAAATTTCAATATTTATATGATATAATTTTTAATAATAATAATAAATTGGATGTAAGCAATATGACTTGTGATATAATATCACGTCATATTGCTTACATCCACTTTATTTGAACTTTGTCTCATTGGCAATCATACATGTACCTCATCTCCTTATTTTTATATATACCGGTAATAATTTTGTTTTTCTACATGTACATGTTATTGAACAAGAAATATTATCCTGCATAAGATTAATGTTCAACACAAATCTTAACCTTTCTTCATGTTATTTTCATAGCATTGATACATGAACAAACCATAAATAGCTGTATATATTTTCAAATAAATCTTTTCTTTTTTTTTCAATATTTAAACAGTTTAAACATCTGTTGTACATTTATTTAAATTAACTCACCCTGATAAATCCTTTGGCATTTGTTAAAAGTCCTAATGTTGTATGGCGTGTGTGATCATTTCCCAAAGGGACTAAATCTTTTAATGTTTCTAAAGATGATCTTAAATGTGCTCGTCTGCAATTATATTATAAATGAACATTATTATAGTTAAACAAGATTCTATACATAAAAACTTGTACATTTGTACATGTACACATGTTACTTATGGTACAAATAAAATGTAGCCATTATTTATGCACATTGACATGACTAACTAAGACAGATATTTTAAAACAGTCCAATAGTCTCTTTAGACATGTTAGACATCAAACTCAAATTTAAATGCAAGAATAAAACTGCTACCAAAATATTAATTTTTATTTTAGAAAATGAAAAAGTCACTTCAGAAAGCAATAGGACCACTTTCTGAATAAAACATTTTTGCATACTATTCTAGAATTCATTTTTACATAGAACATTTAAAATGTATACATATATATATGTAGCTCATATGGAATTTAAACTGTACATACATTATTATATACACATCATCATATTTTTAGACAACACATATACATTGCATAGCTTGTCAACCATTTACGACTAACAGATGGTTTTCATAAAGGGTGAAATCATGTTAAGCATAAGTGTTAATCTTTGATTTGATAAGCAAACATCAACAGTTAAATCAATGTTTACCAGATGCTAATCAGTAATCAGAAATCCAACCTGTACTTAATTCCACAGCCAATTCAAACATTTTTGGTTTAGAACATATGGCAAACATTATATTAAATATAGATATTCCATCTTTGCTCCTCCTCCAGTTTCTTTGGATCTTATTCATGATATGATAATTTTTATACAATTAACCTCTTTAATATTTTTTTTGTGTGTATTGGTCCTAAATTAAAACATCATGTGATCACATATTTATCTTAACTAACTTCCTTGAAAGATGATCTGAATTTTTAATAAAATCACCTTGTCATTTCAAATTTTAAGTGCCAATCAGAAATTTAAAATATGTCCAATTTATGTCAACAAGTGCTGACCTAGAAATAAAACTGAATGATCTCCCTTTGCCGCATAAACAGTAAACATAGAAACTAGGTCATGACCAATCTATTGATAGCAACACCTACCTGTTTTTCTCTAGCTCATTGTGTGTAGATCTGAAAATGAAAGATAAAAATCAAATATTTGTAAAAAAGGAAATGCATTTTAAATCATTCCTCTTTATCATTGCATTTGTTCATACATAGCATTTACATGTATACCACAAAGACACTGGTGTATATATTTACCCATGAAAATCTAGTGAAAATCTGCAACAAATTAAATATTGCATCTGATAATATATGTACATTTCACATACATTATACAATGTACTTTGTGGAAGCTGATCATGATAAATAATAAATGCATTTATTTACACTTTGCTAATAATACACGACTAATAAAATAAAAAATGAGAAAATGTGGAGACCTCAGACCAAAGGACAAGAATGTATACAACTACAATTCACCTAGCAGTCTTCAACAATGAGCAAAACCTATATAATATACATTGCTCTTTATCAGGGTGTAAAAACATTATAAACTAAACATATTTGTATGAAGTTCAGAAAGGCTTTTTACTAAAAATGTGTGCAGGGTCAAGCTTTTTTTTAACAACCATACAAAAATTAAAATCAGAAGCATTCAATTTAATTTTTTTTTGTCACATTTCAATGCAAAAAATGGACATTACAAATGAAATCATGTTTTGTTTGTTTTGTTTAAAATATTCTTACTATTTGTTGGAACGTTGTCATGGAGAGCATATGTTGTCATGGATCTTGGGTTTTATTGGTACATAAAACACCATGTAATATTGTTGTCTTCTAATCAAAATGATGGGATCTTTATATACAATGTATAATTATAAAACATCCATGTAATGTAATTTTATATTTGTTTAAATTCTCAATGTCATTGGGGATTTAAGGACAGAGAAAACCAGGCACATCCCTGTTATTTTTTTCTTTTGGGGGGTTGATATGTGAACCTCTATAACTTTCACTACACAATGGGCTGGCCAAGGTAATAAGTTATTGTTTCCCTATAACTTAAAAAATCTGGATCTACACGGGACACTAGCTAGCAAATATGAATACATGTAGCTTCAGTAGAGTGCCTATTTAGAAATCCTCATTTTTTTCCATGTTAACCCAAATGGAAATAATATGCAATAAGGTTACTACGGAACATGTATAAAGACAAGATGTGTATCCCTTACATTTGTACATTTTTCTAATACATTGTAGCATTAATGACACCAATAGTTCTGCACAAGATGCACTATTCAACAATAAATGTCTCTTCGGTGTATAGCTCCAGCTCAAAATATTTGAAAATCCAAAACTTATAAAAAAACAACAACAGCTTATAAACCAAAAAGGACAAAAGTATAGCCAAAGCTGGACAAGGAATCAGAGCTTTGCATCAGGGAGATATATTCCTTAATTTAAAAATTTTGTAACAGCAAATTTTTATAACACATTGACAATATCTGTATGTTCATGCCAGTACCGAAGTACTGGCTACTGAATGATTGTATCCTATTAAAGGTTAAAATTACAAATCTAGGTCTGACATTTTAATTAAACATGTGCCAACCCTTTACATTTTGCCAATCAGAACCTTAGTTATTGATTGAGAATAAGGAACAAAAAAAATATTTAAACAATATAACATGTCATATTATATATAATAATTAGTAAGCTATTACAAACTGGTTTTCTATTGTAAATATAGACTGAATTAACCGTACAAAGGAATTAATGATCCAAGCCAATAACTCGCATGTCAAGATATTTCCACGTGGGCATAGTAAAGTAAAGTTTCCGTAAATTCTTGTTAGTGATTTCATCTGAATTTAAAATAAATCCTAAACCACATTAAATTTTTTAATTTCTTCAACAGGGACAAAAGGGAACTTTTAGATTCCCTCTATACATATACATTTTTTAAAAACATTTGCAGTAGATGACTTAAAGATTGGGAACATGTGGCTTTAATATAATAATAATACTAACAAGATTGCAAATTTCCCTACTTCCATCAATTAAGTAGGAAGATTTTGGAACACTTCCAGGAAAAAAAATTACTGGCTATTAAAGAATTTGGAAATTGTCCACTATTAAAATTTAAGATTCAACTTAATATGAACTTTAATTGTTACTTTTATCCCTTTGGTTATAACATGAGCAAAACAATAGCATAAAATATATTTTTTTTTTTGTTGTTTACATTTTCTTCAGCTGCTGTATTTTGTAAACATCAGCGTTTTATCAAAGATGGCCGTCCACATCGATTTGGGTCATGCTGATCCAAAATATTCGGAGATAAAATGCATTCATATAACATTACAGTATACAATAAAAACTAAAATATTTTTAGAAAAGCACTGTAAATCTAATCCTTTCATTGGAAAATAATCATTTCAGAAAACAGAAAAGAATTCTGCTTTCGTTTCAATTTTGTTATGAGGAACTCTCATCAGCTGATTCCAACATGGCGGCGATGAATATTGACACGTGAATTTGACACTTATCGAACAACTTACCTATTACCCTGAGATTTCTTTGGTTTGATTTTCTTTTTGCTCACATAATCTGGCATAGGAGCTGTGGATGCATAGCCATGCTCTGCCTCTAAAATGCAAAGTAAACAAATATTTGTCTATATCCAAGAGTACCGTTGTCAGCAAAATTTGTCAACAAACGATGAAAATCCGCTAAGAAACGCATTAAAATGATAAATATACCTCTTTCACGTCTTTCTAGATATTCAGCAGCTTGTAGTAGTGTTGTTATATTAAACATATTATCAAAAATTAAATTTCTTTACAAAAAATCAAGCAAGCATTAGATATCCTGTGTTCCCTAACAGTAAAATTTCCTTCTGTCAAAGTTACACGTTGAGGCAAGCGATGTTTGTTTACTTCGGGTGTTTGAAAGCGACTGGTTTTGATTGGTCAAATCTTCAATATTAACCTTCAACCTCGGCTAATCAAAAACCACAACATATAAATGAAAACTTTTGTAGACACGCCCATAACAAAAAGGCTCCAAAATTGAATTTATAGTAAAATTGACCTAAATCGAATCAGCGACCTATATCAGAGAGTTTTGGAAAAAAAAGGGGGGGGGGCTTTAATTTCTGTATATTCTTAAAATTTTTGGTACTTTTTTCTTTAACTTTAAAAATAACACTTGTTCTGAAAATAACTCCTGAATGCAAGTGATTTTATTTTCAATAATATGGACTTTTCTGTAATCAGAGACATATAATACAAGAGATTCGCAACTCGGCAAAATCCCGTAATAACACGCGGCCACTAGTTAAACCTCGCGAGATCTCCTTAGGTAATAAAGTCATTAATAATAGTATTAAAAGTACTCGAAGTAAGGACGAATGTTTAAGCATAACATAAACTGTTTCAGTGTTAAATTTATCATAATTAATTAAATAATTTGAGTACATATATAATTATTTATTTTAATGTAATTTTGATTTTAGATTTGTATTATTGAAAAAGAGACATAATTTGATATTGTATTAAAAAAAACTGATATTAAATAATTAACACTTGATAAATTGTGTCAGAGTTCATTTTATTTGATAGTTACATAATGGGTTTCTATTGAATATACACCTGTCTCGGAGACATAATTTCACAGTGTGACATGTATATTAGGTTTGAATTTTTCGATGACCAGGTAAATCACGAACATGTTATAAATAATGAGTTTTAATTGACACCTTGTAAACAAGAAGTTGTTACACCACAGGTGTCCACACTCTTTCCAAAAATACAATTCACAAAATGAAAAAATAATTAATTTGGAAAAAAAACTTAATTTATTTGTTATTTAATTGTTAATTATGATAGGCTTTGTTTTTTATTCTTGATATTTATAAATTATTAAAATTCTATTTATTTTTATATTCATCATTTATTGGGCTTGCATTGAGTTTTTTCTGCAGGATTATCGGTAAATGTTTGATTTCTAAGTGTTGTTTGACAGTTTCATCATAGGCTTGCATTGAGTTGTTTTTTAAATGATTGTCGGTAAATTTATGGTTTCTTCATGTTCGAAGTGTGTATTGAGAATTAATATTATTTAAGAAAATTACAATTAATTTCTCATTTGAATAAAGCTTCATTAATGTGCACGCAATATGGAAAATTCCGATTTTATTTCGTGGGATGATAATCTTAATAGTTACGACTTAGATATACTCCAAGTTGAATAAACTGATAACGGAACTCTTTGTTGATAGTGAAAAGGACGAAAACATAAGCGAGAGACCCACCAACAAAAACAATTGACAATACTGCATACATAGATGGATATGTGTGTCCTCGAAGCAACAAAAAAATCTACAAAAAAACACATTGAAGTGGGAGCCGAGGTCATACATCAAAGCAACATGGAAGACACTATTTAAAAAGTATTTTATAACCTTATTTCCACGAGACAATCATTTGTAGTGGTTTTTGTCTTTTTATTCTGGGGTAAAGAGATGGCAGTTTAAAACTAAGATTGTTTATGTGTATACATATACAAATCCTTGGTGTAAATAAAATCTTTTATTGTCAAAATATATATATATATATATCTTTTGCCGTCACCATTGAAATGTCCTCAATACGATTTTAATTTAGAAATGAATTAAGTTCATGTTTTGAATGAGAAGCGTAGTCTGAAACGACAACAGATGCATGAAGCTGATTCATAATATTACGACCAGGTTTCCTTTTATACTAGGAAAATGTTACTCCTTTTGTAAATTTACTGCACCCTTAATAAATTTCGTGGCACCCTTAAAAGAAGAAAAAAACAATGACTTCAGAATAGGAGAAAATAAACAACTTTGCCATAAACAAAATGAATAAAATGCTTCGCTGGGCGCAGCTTGATACGACCGCAGAGGTCGAACCCTGAACAGTTGGGGCAAGTATGGACACAACATTCAAGCTTGATACAGCTCTGAATTTGGATTGTGATTAAATATTTGACACAGCATAGGTTTCTGACACAGAAAGAATGTGGTCTAAGAACTTCAATTTTTTTAATTTACCTATTATGGTCCAATGTCCAAAATCAAAATACATGGTTAGATTCAGCATATCAAAGAACCCCATATATTCAATTTTTGTTGAAATCAAACAAAGTTTAATTTTGGACCCCAACTTGGACAAACTTGAAAACTGGTCCCATAATCAAAAATCTAAACACATGTTTAGATTCAGCATATCAAAGTACCCCAAGAATTCAATTTTTGTTAAAATCAAACTAAGTTTAATTTTGGACCCTTTGGACCTTAATGTAGACAAATTTAAAAAACGGGACCCTAAATTAAAAATCTAAAAACACAGTTAGATTTGGCTTATCAAAGAACCCCAATAATTCAATTTTTGATGAAATCAAACAAAGTTTAATTTTGGACCCTTTTGACCTCAATATGAACCAATTTGATAGCGGGCCCACAAATAAAAAATCTAAATACATGGTAAGATTCAGCATATCAAAGAACCCCATATATTCAATTTTTGTTGAAATCAAACAAAGTTTAATTTTGGACCCCAATTTGGACCATCTTGAAAACTGGGCCAAAAATCTAAAATCTAAATACATGTTTAGATTCAGCATATCAAAGAACCCCATATATTCAATTTTTGTTGAAATCAAACAAAGTTTAATTTTAGACCCCAACTTGGACCAACTTGAAAACTGGTCCCATAATCAAAAATCTAAACACATGTTTAGATTCAGCATATCAAAGAACCCCAAAAATTCAATTTTTGTTAAAATCAAACTAAGTTTAATTTTGGACCCTTTGGACCTTAATGTAGACCAATTTAAAAAACAGGACCCAAAATTAAAAATCTAAATACACGGTTAGATTTGGCATATCAAAGAACCCCAATAATTCAATTTTTGATGAAATCAAACAAAGTTTAATTTTGGACCCTTTTGACCTCAATATGAACCAATTTGATAGCGGGCCCACAAATAAAAAATCTAAATACATGGTAAGATTCAGCATATCAAAGAACCCCATATATTCAATTTTTGTTGAAATCAAACAAAGTTTAATTTTGGACCCCAATTTGGACCAACTTGAAAACTGGGCCAAAAATCTAAAATCTAAATACATGTTTAGATTCAGCATATCAAAGAACCCCATATATTCAATTTTTGTTGAAATCAAACAAAGTTTAATTTTGGACCCCAACTTGGACCAACTTGAAAACTGGGCCCATAATCAAAAATCTAAACACATGTTTAGATTCAGCATATCAAAGAACCCTAAGAATTCAATTTTTGTTAAAATCAAACTAAGTTTAATTTTGGACCCTTTGGACCTTAATGTAGACAAATTTAAAAAACGGGACCCAAAATTAAAAATCTAAATACACGGTTAGATTCGGCATATCAAAGAACCCCAATAATTCAATTTTTGATGAAATCAAACAAAGTTTAATTTTGGACCCTTTGGACCTCAATGTGGACCAATTTAAAAACGGGGCCCAAAATCCAAAAACTTAATACACGGTTAGATTCAGCATATTAAAGAACCCCAAGAATTCAAGAATAAAACCCCATTGAAATTGATCAAGAAATAAGCAATTTATACCAAGTATCTGCTTTTGCACAATACTGTGCAATTGAATATTTCTTGCTATTGGGCAATACTGTACAATTGACAATTTCTTGCTATTGCGCAATATTGTGCTATTGGATATTTCTTGCTATTGCGCAATACTGTTAAATTGAAGATTTCTTGCTATTGCGCAATACTGTGCAATTGAAGATTTCTTGCTATTGTGCAATACTGTGCAATTGAAAATTTCTTGCTATTGCACAATACTTATTATATAATAATTTACACATCCTGTTTGGTGTGTATCTCCTACCATATCATTATTATTTGCTTTTAAATATAAATCAGAAATAACCAACTTAAAATGGAAAATTTTAAAAGAAAAAAAAAAAGAAAAAAAAGAAAAAAAAAAAAAAAAAAATCCCCCCCCCCCAATTTTTTGAACCCCCTTATGATTCATCACCCCCAAACTCAATCCCAGCCTTCCCTTTGTGGTATGGTACCTTGCAGTACAATTTCAGAAAGATCCATACACTTGAACACAAGTTATTGTCTGGAAACTAGAAAAATGCTTATTTTTGGCCCCTTTTTGGCCCCCAATTCCTAAACGTTTCGGGCAATTACCCCCAAACTCAATTCCAGCTTTCCCTTTGTGATATGGAACCTTGTAGTACAATTTCAGAAATATCCAAACACTTACACACAAGTTATTGTCATGAAACTAGAAAAATGCTTGTTTTTTGCCCCTTTTTTGGCCCCTAATTCCTAAAATTTTGAGGCAATTACCCCCAAAATCAATTACAGCCTTCCCTTTGTGATATGGAACCTTGTGGTACAATGTCAGAGAGATCCATACACTTACACACAAGTTATTGTCTGAAAGTTACAAAAATGCTTATTTTTGGCCCCTTTTTGGCCCCTAATTCCTTAACTGTTGGTACCATAACCCCCAAAATCAATCCCAACCTTCCTTTTGTGGTATTGAACCTTATGGTGAAATTTCATGGAGATCCATTCTCTTAAACTAAAGTTAGAGTGCGAAAACCAATGTGTCTTCGGACGACGCCGGACGACGCCGGACGACGACGACGACGACGACGACGACGACGACGACGACGACGACGCCAACGTCATACCAATATACGACCAAAAAATTTTTAATTTTTGCGGTCGTATAAAAATGAATAAATTGTCTGACAAAATGCAGGCTATAAACTTCATAGTGCACAAAAATGGACTGATTTAAGGAAATGTGTCCATGAACAATTTCAATATTTAGCCAGTTTAATAAAAAAAAAAAGAAAAGAAAAGAAAAAAAAATTGGGAGTAATATATATCCCCATAATATGACATATTTATTTGTAAATTTCTAGTTTTGACGAAACAGATTGATAAAATTAGCATAGCTGGCTTTGTGTATAAATAACAAAATAATAGTCACCTTTATTGATATTTTTGGAATTAACTGTTGGATCAAATTTTACGAAACTGGTCTTATTTTCACGACATAACATCTGAGAGTAATATAGCCCCATGCAATTGAATATTTATTCGCACATTTCCAAGTTTCACCACGAGATAAAATGATAGTACCAGCACAGCTAGCTTCGGTATCAATAAGAAAAATTCGCCACATTTGTTGATAATTTTGAAGAAAAAAAAACACTATTGGATCAAATTTTACGAAAATAGTCTTATTTTCACGAAACAACATTTGGGAGTATTATTGCCCCATAAAATTATATATTTATTAGCATATTTCCAAGTTTTAAGAAAAAAATTGGGAGATCAAATGGTTTCTACGGCAATAGGTGAAGTAAAATGGGCCGAGTTTTAACTTTGTTTGTATTTGATTAATCTCATCATTATAACACATTTTATCAATAACAAATTATTAGAATTAGTTTTTTGTAACTTTTAAATATACTTGCATGCTTTAGCTGTGAAAGGTATCGGCATTGTCCAAGAAAAATCGTGAGGCGTACGGTAAAACCTTTTTCACTACAATAGCGGGTTTTTACCCATAAATCCATCGGATTAATCGACTTTCCGGTGGCCACGTCATTTCATTGGCTGTTATATAGACTCTGCTAGAGTTGCGAATCTCTTGTATTATATGTCTCTGCTGTAATGATATGATTTCTTTCTTCTGTACATTACTAATTTCTGTAATCAGTATTTTATTTCCTAATTGTTTAATTTCCACAATTATTCTGTATTCTTTTGCACTCATATTTTCTCTGTTCTTTATTATTTTTGCTAATTTTTCTCTATTCCTTATTTATTTTTGCCATTATTCTCTATTCTGTAAATCACACCCAAACCCTCCTATATTGCACTCACATATTCTCTGTTCTTTATTATTTTTGCTAATTTTTTTCTATTCCTAATTTATTTTTGCCATTATTTTCTATTCTGTAAATCACACCAAACCCTCTTATATGGATATGATCGAATGTATAATTCAATTAATGGATTTTTTTCTAAAGCGATATGTTCAGTTAATTTTTTTTTCTGATATAAACCAATATTCATTCCTTTAGCCTTTAATGTAATATTACTTTATTGTTAAAGTTGTTTAAATTACAATTATATGGCCGAATTTTGTTTTAGTACCGCCGGACATTTTCAGACATTTAACCGCCCCCTCCTAAGTTATTCAATTGTTGGTGCCACGGTTCCTTTGGAAAAGTTCTGGATCCACCACTGTCAAATAAAATTTGATTTGTAGCGATGCAGAATTAATACAGATCAATACAGAGAAATATAAAACACGAAAGCTTTAATTTCTTCTATTTATCCAAGGTTTGGTACAAAACATGTCTTCTTATTGAAAAGAGAAATTTCCGGTACAGCGGCTTTAAAAAAAATGTATATGTTCTTGGAAAATTGTACTTCCTAAAAAAAACAACATACGAAGCTCCTTTAATGGTGGTTCGTTATGATTTAGGGGACGACCATTTGATTTTCGAGGGGGGAGGGGGGCAAGGAGGATTTTGAACATCTATAACTTGACCTGGTAACAACTGAAAATAAATATATTTTCATAAGACATGATAAAAATGAAAATTCTGCAACACAAAAGTGAGAAATGTTGTCTTGAAAACCTGAACACTCTCGGGTATAAGCAAAGATCTATGTCGAATATAAGATTGGATTGATACATCTTTAAGCATGCTATCTGGGACTATGAATACATAGTATATTATCCATTGGCTGCAAATTGTCAAAGTTCGCGAATCTTCTCACTTCTCTCTAAATGGGATATCTATCTAATGGCAGTCAGCTTTACTTTAAAGTAAAATAATTATACATGCGATAATCCGGCCATTTCGTCATATTCATTTCGACAATTGACGTGATATTTGATGCAACACACGGAAGCAAGGACTGGCCATAAACAGGAAGGATATCCGGATAAAAATGAAATCCGTGTTTTTTTATGTTCTTTATAAATTAATTAGTTAATTAATCGATTCATCAAACAAATTAAAGGCATCAGAATCCACATTTTAATTATATTTAATATTGATTTTTTACGTTGAATAAATCAGACCATTGAAAATTTAATCAATAGAAATACACAATACTGAAAACAAACAGAAAGGTATTTAAACAACTGTTTATTTCGATCAACAAATTATTGGAAGAGTTACATCTGAAGAGAATCAATGAATAATTGTCTAAAAATAACTATACTCAGTGATGCGCGCATGCCACAGAGCGGACATTTAACGGCACCTGCAAGATAGGTGACCGTATTGTAACGGTTCTTGCACACATTCAAGGAGCCATCTGCCAGAACACAAATCAAACGGCGGCGCGTGTCACTGTTGATTTTGGGTATCTATTACAACCCAAAGTACAAACAATAACAAGTTGAAAAGCCCTTTGTTAGGACAAAGAGAAGTGGACAGGTGAGACTAATAAAAGACCCTAAGAAAGTGTTTGAAGGAGCAGTTGTACTACAACCACTTTTGGCGCGATAGTAATCTTGGTTAGATGTTTGCTTACTCACGAAAAAGACAGATCATAGAACTGAGATATGTAAATTGACCACTTTGATCGAAGATTTCAAATCAGTTATGCAAACAAGAAATAGAAAATTAAACACAGTTAATGAATTTATTAATATCGCACGTCCGAAGCGCTTTTCTGGATTTACCTCTATCAGGAACGCTAAAACACAAACATTTTAAAGCCGGGATGTATAAATACGTAGAGACGTTAGGAGCTATTTGACAAAAAGGGACTTAAAAGTCAATTTCGATCGACTGATGTCAAATTTGCATGAATGAATTGGAACCTTAGTTTCTTAGTAATTACTTGACTTATCAACGGGGACTTTTAGAAAAAAAAGAGGAATAGTTAAAG